CTTTTTTTAACTGGATGTCTTTAGATAAATCTTCATCATGCTCTAATACCGACTTTATAAAAGTTCAGTAACAGCATCTGAGAGGAAGCCAAATGATACCAAGCCTGAACCTGTCATTACACAGAGGAGGCTTGCATTGTTCAAACAAGCTGATAACATGATGTAATCACTGACAGAAAGAGAGCTCAGCAAGGTTTTATTTTTAGCCTGCCGTCTTCACCGGCTTCACGAAGCCTTGGGCTGTCATGTTCTCTCATTGTCTAAAGCGTTGGCTAATTATGCTCCTGTCTGATCAGAGCAGGTAGTTGGAGGTGTATTGTGAAGCTACGCTCTTTACTCGGAAGATATTTCTGGATAAAGACAAATGGGAAGTGAAGGATTGGAGTGTGTGGACAGAGGGTTTCCCTGAGGGGAGACACAGGAAGTGGGAGACCAGTGTAAATCACAGTGTAAACAAATCATATCATGTCATATCGGGACAAGCAGCTGACATGGTCGAGATGGGAGGACGTCACTCCAATGTTGTCACTTCTTAACAGTCGATGAGTTAACTGAGCTGAAGAAAAAACCCAACTTTACCCTAACTCTTGCCAGCTGTGTTAGGCCACATTCTTCTTAAATGTTACTCCATCCATATATTACATGTATTTCTCACAGGTTCATCTGTTGAAGTACTTCACTCTTAAAGTTGTTTCAGATCCTTTTTTATTACACATCGAGGATCTGCCCTGTGATGTTTATGATGGTTTTCCTCCAGGCCACCGTGGGGATGACATTTGTATGTCAAAGTGAAATGTCTTGACAATTACTAGATGGGTTGCCATGAAATGGTATGCACACAACCATGCACCCCTCCAGCTGAATGTCTTCACGCTCCTCTGACTTTCCCTCAGATGCCCTTATATACAGAAGCTGGCCTACTATGTTTACATCACATACTCACTTTTGACCAAGTTTGGACTTTTTTTACAAGAGGAAAAGAAATAAGGAAAAAAAATCAGGAATAAAGAAGTGTCAATATTTACCTTTGCAACACAAAGCAACTTCCCAACGGTTGGATCAAATAAAAACAGTATCAGTTTTATCAAATGAATTGTTCTGTGACTTCAGACAAGTCTGTCTGCAGTGGTGATGACTAAGTCCAGGTCAAAGTGAAGACGGCTCCTCTGTGTTATTGTTAGCACGGTCAGCGCCTTCCCTTCCCTCTTCACCTGCACTGTGGCATTATGGTCCGTTTGTGCACAGCTTCTCGTCCGACCCGACTGTTGGAGAATACAAATATTCTCAATGCTGAGTTTCACCAAATTCACCACCAAACTTCTTCCCTTCCCACTTTCTTGGCACTGAACCCCCGTGTTACTCGCCGAGGCACAAGTTGTAAATATGAGTGACAGGTCTTTATTCAGGAGGTGAGTCAGGGAAATGTTGAAAAGTAATACATATATTTAGTGCCTAAAATTTATTCCTTCCTGCCACAACGTGAGAAGTGGAGTGTGGAATTGAACCTGGCAGTGAATTCAAATCCTCACCATCACAGCAAAAAGGAGAAGTGCTACAGGGTCTCTGTCCCCTAGTCTCCCACAGTCAGGACCTGCATTGGGTAAATCTTCTGACACAAGGCATTACCCTCAAGTGGGCAAATACCACGTCTAAAATGTTGACTCTAACACAGTTACAGGCCAAGGATCGTCTCCTTCACACACAACTTCAGCTTTTAGGGAACCGAACACATTTTGCAACAATAAAGAACATAATAAACAATGAGTTTTGATTAGATTAATCAAGGAATCAGACAGTGTTTCCTAACACGTTACAATTACAAATATTTGACAATAAAAAGCCCATATTCATCATGAAAGCTGAGCCTGTTTAGTTGAACACAACGCATTCAAAGTCTCTGTCTTTTTAGTTTTCTGCCAACCACTGGCACGTAATAAATAAATCATAGTTTTCCCATCAGTTAGATGAAGTAGGATCATTTTCCATGGCAACAGAAACATAAACTGCGTCTCTGGCCTGAAGCATCTATAAAACAAAACAAAACTTCTTCAAAATCTCGAAGTCACTTTCTTTTTTTAGTTACAAAAAAAATCCAACATTAACTTGCACCCCCCCAAAAAAAACCACATTGTTGTGTAGCAGTCCTTTAATAATGAAAAGAATATTCTTTTTTAAAAAAAAGCTGCCGTTGTGCCTCAGATCAACCGGTGGCTCTGGGCTGATAAGCCCTCTGAACAGACACCGTGGGGACCTGAGGAAGGATTTGCATGACAGCTCTTGATTGTCCTTTTCTCTCCAAAGGCTGAATGACCAATGACATGTGAGAGTTTGGCGCTGGCAATGCATCGATCATAGCCGACGCCTTCCCCGTGACAGAAATGGGGCTGAATTTAGCTTAAATAACAACCAACAGCTGCTCGGCAGGCTGCTCTGTCCTCCCCCTGTGGCCTCCTTCTCTCTGCATCAAGAGGAGGCACCGTGTTTTCCTGACACAGTTTACAGGATGGCATTTTGAATCGAACCACACACACACACACACACACACACACACACACTAGCCTCTATCCTCCTCACCTCTTCGCCACTCCAGAGAAAGTATAGAGTGACGCTGAGGTCTGCACTGTGTTGCATCTCCACGCTGGAGCTCCATGTGCATGTGTGTTGCAGTAACAATACTCTTTCCACCCACACGTCGCCTCTCCGACTCAACCCCCACCCCTCTCTCTCCCCCTCCCTCCCTTATTGCAGCCCCAGCCGCCGCCTCATCCTCCCAGCGGCTCACGTGCCACCGCACATTCCCAATGAGTCCCACGCTTCAGAGGAAAATGTCTCCGAACCCCAGGGTCCAGAGGGGCAGCAGCGTGCGGGGGCGTACTCTGACTTCCAGGGACCGGAAGATGTTGCTACCTGTCAGTCTGAAGGAAGAGACTTAATTAGGGAAGATGTTTGCACAAAGCATGGGAATGGTGAGGTCCTTCTGGAATATTATAACCATGCAAAGGCTGAGCTCCACATGAATATTCAGTGATAATGATGCTGTTACTGTACTCAGAGAAATAGCACAATTTAACCTTACTGGAGAATAAGGCAGTTAGCATGAATTTTTTAACAAGGACCGACTGGCTGGAATATGTAGCCATTCATGGAAAAACAACACAACAACTAAACATATATGTAGATGATAACACACAAAGACAAATATGCTCTTTAACCCAGTCCTGGGGGGCAGTGATAGCTCTCAAATATACCACGGACTGAGGCAGTTGCTGCTTGTTGAACACACCACAGGCCATCGGATTTTTTTACTTTTTTGTCCTCAGTATAAGAAAAACCACATTTCATATGTGTGTCTGTGTCGTACCTGTGTTACTCAGTTGGCTTGTGAAATTAAGTTTGCATTTGTCATTTTCTACGTTGTGAAATCTCAACACTATTATCACCTTTTAGCCATTATCACCAGCTGCTGTTAAGGAGTGTGAATTGACGAGAGTCCACTGAGTTCACCGATGTTGAACTTGGCACCCACTGAAAACTAGTCTGCGACCCACGACCCACCAGTTTAGAACCCCATGTCAAATTTACCTGATTGGAGGAGATCACTTGAACAAGTCAAAGTTGAAAAAAAAAAACACCATCAAGTTGTAAAGTTTAATGTCAGTGGCAGCAACACAACATAGTAGTTAAAACAAATGGTAATTTGATCATAATCCAACATGGCACCCAGAGTAGAGACTTTTTAACCCGAGTCTCTTGAAGTCTGACTAAAGCATCATTGTCACATAAAGTAATTTTGTTAATAAAAAATAAAGGGCAATCTTATAATCCTTTATTCAGTTCAGGAGGTTGCATAACATTTTACAGCAAAAGGTAGTCACTGTACATGGACACAAATACAATATTTAGATGTAAATAAAGACAATGACATTTGACTGCGTTAACATAGAAAAGCAAATCATTTGATGCTAAACACATTGCACAAATTGTTTTTTTATTTAGTAGTAAGCGGCAGGAAAGTGGCAGGACTTTTCCTCCACCAAAACTTGAGTGCGCATCAAACATGCAGCCTGGATGCTGGTGAAGTGGAGGAAAACACTGATGCTGTTATCGAATGAACTCAGTGTTCTCCTGACTCCTCAGATTCCTCAGAGGAGGTGAGAGCGAGTGCGCCTCCAGAGCGCATCAGTGGTCGAGCAAACCCCCACTGCAAGACGCAGTGCCAGAGGAGAGCAGCTCTGGCTCAGGAGCTCGTTTCCTGCAGAAGCGAAGGTTACCGACTGAAACCCAATCCCGGATTGAACACCTGTTAAACTGGATTGTGTCTGAGCATCATCTGTGCTGACTCCGCTCACTCAGAGAGACGATGTAGCGGAGACAAACCGGGCATCTCCAGGAGAGAGGAAAGGATTAATGTCAGTTCACAGCAGCGGCAGCAGCGGCAGCAGCAGGGATGGATATATGCAGGGAAGGGTGGATGGGGGGGTGACCACAGGGTGGGCACTGTG